TCTTGTCTTATGTACGAAGCATAACTACCATGGTAGACCGTGAGTGAGACGGTTTCGGTCACGAATGTCTGCCATACAGCAGAAATTGCTCTAGGAGACGTCTGCCTACGGAAAATGAATTCAACACCTATCAACATGCTCAGCCGTGATAAAATGGGTTGCCTGGCATCGTGTGCGGTCAGAAATTCCCCGTTATGTTGGACAAGACCATAACAATCAACGGACGCATCAGGGTTAATGCCTCCGTTCGGGCTGCGGCTTCGGGGCGCACGGGCAGCCAAAACCACATGTCCGTGTGTTTATTTAGTGGGTTCCTGAACAATGGCAATGCGTAGCTTTTGCGGGGTCCCTTCCGCTTGCCGAAGACGCCCTGTCGATCATCGGTGCAGCACAGGATGGTTGGGAATGCGACTGCAGGGTCCGGACCCAGCCTCCACTCGGAATTGATGCGTGCGCCGTGTTTATCGCCACTCTTCGCCTTTTGTCTCCGCAGCAGCTAGGCAGTGCTTTAAGTTATTAAAAGAAAGTGATCAACCCTGCAACAACTCAATAATGGGCATTACTGCTCCCAGCTTCTGTCTCGCTTTTGCCACGACTTCTGCGTCGCATGTTGGAGCAAGGGGTGGTGAAACAGAGAGGGTAGCCGAACTTAAGCGTAATAGTTGACTGAGACGGGTACAAGGGGTATGAATAGTGTTCTGGACTTGAATTTAGTTAAATTAATCTGTGTGCAGGATATGCTCGGCGTCGCCAGTTTGCTAATTCAGTCAGCATTCGTGTATCATCGATGGGAGATGAATAGAATATGAAATGTTAGTCCAGGGCCTAGAGGCTAATAGTAGATGAGTAGATGATCTGGCACTGAATGAATCTCCGAAGCTGTCCAAACTTTCATAGCTTACGGCTGGATGAGCCATCAGCATGCCTGCTACCTCGAACTTCAGCTGTAGTTCGCCTTGAGAAGGACTTCCATCGTAGATGTAGGCACGATCGAATGTGATCAATTGTACTGCAGCTTTGAGATCAGCAAGTGATATGAAGAGTATACGCCGATTGAGCAATAAGAGCAATATTGCCGAGATCCTATGAAAATGTGAGGAAGAATGCTGAGCGTGGCCGGAATGAGTGTTTACTTCTGGGCGGAGAGTCTGGCTCGGGATTGCACGAGACCAAACGTTCAGTGTTTGTTTTGCATGGCTTGCCTTGCATTCCTCTGCAAATTGCGTTCGGAAATCCTCATGCCATCGGCATCTGCCGACCCATGCTTTTGCAGCTCCTGTGACAGGTGGGCCGATCGCCTCCATCAATTAGGATCTTAGAGGATCTACTCAAGTCTGCAGCTTCAGGAACCATGGGATCTCTTGTGAGATCTTTGTTGTTGAAATGAGGCTGTGACTGAGTGCCGTTGACTCCCATCTCCAGTATCTTCATTGACTGACAGGGGATTTAAATTATCACAGCATTTAGCAAATGAGGCAACATAGGCCCTTGCGTCAGATCCTTGCTTACAACGATAAGCTGATGCAGCCCAAGTTTAAGGTTAAATTTCCAATGTGTGATGCATCTCACGAGAGCCGTTGAAATATAAGACTTTGATGCACGGTTGACATATGCTATGTGACGGTGTTCTGATCCACGACAGCTCGAGCAATCTAGGCATAGTATTACCTGGAAACATCCCTTTTCTATCCAGGACTAAGCTACTTGCAAGAGTGTCTGAACGCACCATGGGTTGACATCTATAAATATTCGAAACAAACACAACGTGATGGATTTCTACAAAACAGCCGTTGCTGGAAAAGGCCGTTGAAATACACGATAGCACAAACACTACCAAGCATCCTGCAAATGTCGCTTAAGAAGATCGGCGTTGCTCGGGACGAGGTACGGTCCACCGGTGCTGTCTCGGACATCATATGGTGCGTTTCAGCATCAACCTGAGCTCTTGGCATCTAGCGGAGCGCGTACATATCCAAAGGACACAAAGATCCGTTCCACGTGCGGATGCTTTCCATACTGCCGTCTAGGTTTGGCGAAGAATATATTAAATTGAGGAGAGAGCCTAGAGAAGGCAACCCCCTGGAATGCAACCGACACTTCTGACTCGTGGATTGGCGCTTATGCTAGTCAGTCACACCAGGTGATATCGCGCGGAGCTCCCTCCGTCCGCCAGCCAAGAAACGAGTCCGTCCACCACTGAAGAGTCTGGCCAAGACATGGGATGGGGTCCAAAGCCCTCTAAAGTGATTATTTGGGTAAATGATCGACAACATCATGGACTGTACCCTTCCAGAGGCAGTGGGAGTTTTTGACCGCAGAATGCTTTTCTCTACATGCTGTGCTGAAAGAAAAGATGGTAACATACAATGATGTTATATTTGGCCATCTTGAATGTGCGTGGTGGTCTTAGAAAACGAGATTTCATAATAGAGGTCTGATACAGTGTCAGCTGCAGAAGGAGCCAAGCCAGCCATTGGTGGAAGCTACTCATTGTCCAAGACTTTAGACCAGGGGTCATGCATTAGAATCGCTAGCTTGACGGCTCTGGCTCCATCGGTACTCAAGATTCGGCAGTGCTCCTGCGGAAACAGCTATTTAAGGTGTCTAGCTCGCGACTGACAAGAAAACCTTTGAATTGGTCTGACAATGTCAAACGCCAAGATGTTGTCCAAAACGTCGCTTCTGTCGCTCCTCTCACTTGCAGCTGGGGTCGTCAATGCAGACTTTGGCATAACGACCAACGATGATTCCTATGTCATAAACGCCAATTCTCCCAACTCGTTGGTGTTTACCGTTGATCGCGGAAGTTGCGATATCACTTCTATCGTGCATTATGGCACAGAGCTGCAGTATTCCGGCAAGGGTAGCCATATCGGCTCCGGTCTTGGAACTGCGACAGTTTCTGCTACCAAGAGCGGTAAGTGGATTTTGAGTACGGCGAGAGTGACAAGCTGATTAGGAGCAGGCGACTACATCAAGGTGACCTGCGAGACGGATACATTGACCCAGTATATGGTTGTCCATGATGGGGATCCTATCATTCATATGGCAACCTACATTACCGAGGGTGAGTATTGTGTCAAAGTTTTCTACGTTAGTCTCTAACATCCACCAGAGCCATCTATCGGTGAATTGCGGTTTATTGCTCGACTCAACTCAGATGTACTCCCCAACGAGGAGCCATTCGGCGATGTGTCCAACACCGCCGATGGGGAGGCGATTGAAGGATCTGACGTGGTATGTCTTTTGCATAATTTCGATGACGTTGCTAATTGCACGGCAGTTCCTCGTCGATGGCGAGACTCGCAGCAAGTTCTACTCCAGCCAGCGTTTCATTGACGATCAGAGACACTGTAAGAAATAATGGAATATCTACAGGGTTATCGCTGACTATTCAAGGCATTGCGGGCGATGAGCACCGCGTCTGTATGATCCTCAATCAATACGAGACCTCTTCCGGTGGCCCTTTCCACAGGTAGGCACATACTCTCTATCGCAAGGATTATGCTCACAGCTACAGGGACATCAACTCCAACAACGGAGGTGACTACAACTCCCTCTACTGGTATATGGTACGTTTACTACTTTATTCTCAAATCCACAGCTACTGACCATACAGAACTCGGGCCACGTCCAACTCGAGTCCTACCGCATGGGTCTTCACGGACCGTACTCGATGTACTTCAGCCGCAGCGGCACTCCCAGCACCGACATTGACACGTCCTTCTTCGCGGACCTCGACATCGAGGGCTACGTAGCCGAATCAGGCAGGGGAACCGTATCCGGAACCGCGTCAGGCGCTGACTCGAGCTTCGACTGGGTCGTTCACTGGTATGCCTTTCTCACCCACACAACCATCAACCCTAGCTAACCGGACAGGTACAACGATGACGCCCAATACTGGACATACACATCCTCCTCCGGCAGCTTCACCTCCCCCGCCATGAAACCAGGAACATACACCATGGTATATTATCAAGGCGAGTACGTCGTGGCCACGAGCGAAGTGACCGTCAGCGCCGGCTCGAGCACAAGCAAGGACATTTCCGGCTCCGTCGAAACAGGAACGACCATCTTCAAGATTGGCGATTGGGACGGACAGTAAGTACCCCCCTCCCTTCTACCACACACATCAATTACACATCTAAAACGTCATGGTATAGACCAACCGGCTTCCGCAACGCAGAAAACCAACTCCGCATGCACCCCTCCGACTCCCGAATGTCCGACTGGGGCCCTCTAACCTACACCGTTGGCAGCTCCTCCCTGACTGATTTCCCCATGGCCATTTTCAAGAGCGTCAACAGTCCAGTAACCATCAAGTTCACTGCAACATCTGACCAGACTGGTGCAGCGACGCTGCGTATCGGAACTACGCTGTCGTTCGCGGGTGGACGTCCTCAAGCTACGGTAGGCATCCTCTTTCCTTCCTCCTTTATGTGCAGCGTAGCTAAGATATATAAACAGATCAACGACTACGAAGGATCCGCGCCGTCCGCACCTACGAATTTGGACTCTCGTGGCGTGACTCGTGGTGCGTATAGAGGGTATGGGGATGTTTATGATGTTTCGGTTCCTGAGGGGACGATTGTGGAGGGGGAGAATACGGTACGTTGCCTTACCCTGAATATATGTTGTGGGAGTTGTGGAGATCTGTGCTGATGAGCGTAGATCACGATTAGTGTTATTTCGGGGAGTTCTGGGGATGACTTCTTGAGCCCGAATTTTGTAAGTTTCTTCCCTGATGTGAGAGGAGATGAGATGAAATAGCTGACGAGAGTAGATCTTTGATTGTGTGGAGTTGTTTCAGTGAGGGATGTCATACATTGACAACTGCACTAGTTGGTACAGTATAGCTTGATGCAGTGTTCATAATAGCCCTAGTTGACAATTGATTATAACGTCTAGTCTAACCAACAAGATAATACAACCACACCTTCATCTATAGGATAATATACGGACCTTATATACCCAACTCCTCCCACCCAACAAACAAGAGATCATCTACCTCCCCCCAACCTCCTAACAATCACCCACCCCACAGCTCCCACCCCAACCGCCCCCATCACCCACCTCACCCACCCACCCTTCCCCCTCCCATCTCTATCCTCTCCCTCCTCCCAAACCCGATGCACCAATCTCCCCCCAACCCACACCATCCTCACGTTCCGACTATCCCCATTCCACACCCACTTATGCACCTTCTCCTTCCAACTCTGACCCTCATCAAACACATCCACCGCACTCTCCACCCCACCCGTCTTCCCCCACCTCCCCGCCGGATTAAACTTCCCCAGCTTGACCATCTGCGCATCCCACACCATCCCCTGATCAAACCCACCGATCTGATCCGCCATATCGACGACGGCTGCTCCGCCGCGCGTGGCGAGGTAAAGTGCTTCTTCAATGGAGAGGACTTCGCGAGGGACTTTGTCGTCATTATCATCTGGCGTACCCTCTCTTTCTTCAGGCTGAGCTCGAGACATATGCGGCAACAACCTCGATACTAAGCACGCTTGGCGGACTGTTTCCAGAATGCTGGGATTATATCCGCCGCTTACGTCGGTTCCCAATCCGACGGTGATGCCGGAGTCGATGGCCTTGCGGACTTCGCAGATTCCGGAGCCGAGGGCAGAGTTGGACGCGGGGCAGTGGGAGAGCTTTGCATCATTCTCGGCGATCATGGCGCGCTCGTCGTCGGAGAGATGTACGCAGTGTGCGAGGATCGTGCGCGGGGTAAGTAGTTTAAAGTAGTTATACACGGAGGTATAGTCCCTCGATTCCGGATACAGCTTCTTCACGAGATCCAACTCGTCCAGGTTCTCAGCGAGATGGGTTTGGATATGTAATGGGGGCGAGTAGCTGGCCGCTAGCTTGGACAGTTTCCCCAACGAGCGCGGGGTACATGATGGCGCGAACCGCGGGGTCACGATCGGCTGGATGAGGGCTCCCTCCGGGTCGATGGTGTGAATGTGGTCGATACTGGCTTGGGTCTTGTCGATGGCGATGTCCGGGGACTCGTCGCGGAGGTCATCGGGGCATTGTTCAGGGCGGTCCATGCAGACGCGGCCGATGAGGGCGCGTTGGCCGCGGGCATGGCAGAGGGAGGCGAGGAGGTTGGTGGCGGGGACGTGGATGGTAGCGAAGTAGGAGGCGCAGGTAGTGCCGTTTGCGAGGGTGCGGGCGACGACTTGGTTGTAGACGCGGTAGGCGTAGGGAGGAGGGATGGAGGGGAATTTGGAGCTGCCGAAGAGGCTTCGATGGGGAAGGTGTAGTTCTTGAGCCAGTGGAGGAGGCCGGCGTCGCCGAAGAGGCCGGCGTTGGGGTATTGGGGGGCGTGGATGTGGGTGTCTATTGGATGTTTCTCTGTGTTAGTGGTGTATGCTGGGGAGTTGGGATGTGTAGGGTAGGGTAGGGGGGCATACCGATGAACCCAGGGAAGAAGAACTCATTCTCCTCCTCTCGCGCAACCACCAACGTCACTTCCACCCCGTGCTTGTTCTTATTGTGGCCATCTTTATCATTCACGACAGTCCACCCCTTGTGACGGAGGAATCTCTTCAGGTCTCGGTCATTGGCAATGGACCAGTCGAAGCCTTCGATTGTGCCGTCGGCAGTGGACACCCAGAGCGCGCCGCGGGTGATGGCGAGCTGGTGGCCCTCTTCGGACTTGAAGCGGGGGAGCTGGATGAAGGTTCCGACAAAGAGGGTGTATTTGGGAGACATGTTGCTGTGCTCAATGCTTGCTGTAAATGTAGGAAAGAGTGTTGTATGTAGGTAGGTTCGTAGCTGACAGCTGCTAGCTAGGAGCTTGTGTGGGGAATGTGCCAATCTGCGTCGCGGGTAGTGCAAAGCTGACGCGGGGTGATGCGGGTGCTGCGCGCACTTGAGCCCAATGCTAGGAGGAGATTGGAATAAGCTATCTATGCGCCAGCAATGTAATAGCGCAACGCTCCAAAACTTCAGAAACCGAAAATCACGAAGGGCAACAGCCCAGCAGATGGCACGTCTTATAGTGAGGCCCGTCGCGTCCGGTTCCGGGGGCTGCTCGGCCGGCTCCGATCCTGAAAACAGCTAGTGCGACGATAAGATACGGATTGCCTATCTGGGATATCAAGTGTTTGGTCTGTTTGCAATTGAGTGGATTGAATTGATTGATGGAACATTCATGTTTTTATTAAAATTTCTAAAACGCCATCCATGTCTATCATGACAATGTTGAATCGCTAGTCATGCACGTCGTATCAATATGCAATGCCAATCCAGAATGTTGAAAAATATGGTATCAAACGCAATCGTACACATGGGTATCATAGACTATCTACTCGCTATCCTCCACCGGTCCGCAGGTACAGAAGAGGTTCTGGTCACCGTATGCTGCAACATATTAGCGAAATTCTTCAAGGAAATAGTGGTATAGGTGCTTACCATCATCGACACGAGTCACCGACGGCCAGAACTTCTTCTCGACCAGGTACGGCAACGGGTACGCCGCCGTCTCGCGGGTGTACGGCCGGTTCCACTCGCTGGACAACAGGTCACGCTGGGTGTGCGGTGCCATCTTCAGCACATTGCCCTCCTGGGGCTGGGCGCCGCTCTCCACGGCGGCGATCTCCTCCCGGATGGAGATGAGGGCATCGCAGAACCGGTCAAGCTCTGCCTTGTTCTCCGACTCGGTGGGCTCGATCATCAGCGTGTTGGCCACGGGCCACGACATGGTCGGGGCGTGGAAGCCGTAGTCCTGCAGACGCTTGGCGATATCGATAGCCTCAACACCGCAAGTGTCCTTGAACTTGCGCACATCGAGGATGAACTCGTGGGCACAGCGGCCATTCTCGTTGGTGTACAGGATAGGGTAGTGGTCCTTGAGACGGGCCAGAATGTAGTTGGCGTTGAGCAGCGTGATCTTAGTCGCGTGCGTAAGGCCCTTGGAGCCCATCATGTTGATGTAGTTGAAGGTGATGGGCAGGATGCTAGCGCTACCCCAAGGAGCGGCACTGATCGGGGGCGAGGACGACTCGGTCCGCTTGGACTGGAGATACTCGCTGCCCGGGTGAGAGGGCAGGTAGGGCCGCAGGTGCTCGGCCACACCAATGGGACCAACACCAGGACCACCGCCACCGTGGGGGATACAGAAGGTCTTGTGCAGGTTCAAGTGGCACACATCGGCACCAATCTCGCCAGGAGAGCACAGACCGATCTGGGCGTTCATGTTGGCGCCGTCCATGTAGACCTGGCCGCCATGCTGGTGGACAATCTCACAGGCCTGCTTGATGCCAGGCTCATACACACCGAAGGTGCTGGGGTAGGTGATCATCACAGCCGCCAGCTCGTCCTTGTGCTTCTCACACTTGGCCTTCAAGTCTTCCAGGTCCAGGTTGCCGGTCTTGGTGTCGCACTTGATAGTCACCACGCGCATACCAGCCATGGCAGCACTGGCAGGGTTGGTACCGTGAGCCGAGACGGGGATCAGGCAAATGTTGCGCTTGTCGCCTTCGTGGGCCTCCTGGTACTTCTTGATGACACGCAGGCCAGCGAACTCACCCTGTGCACCGGAGTTGGGCTGCACGGTGACTTCGGCCATGCCAGTGATGTCTGCCAGCTGCTGCTCCAGGTCATCGATCATCTGGGTGTATCCCTTGGCCACATCAGCCGGCAGGAACGGGTGCATCTGAGAGAACTCGGGCCACGAGATCGGGATCATCTCCGTGGTGGCGTTAAGCTTCATGGTGCAGGATCCAAGAGGAATCATGGAGTGTGCCAGGGACAGATCCTTGGACTCGAGGTGACGAATGTAACGCAGCATTTCCGTTTCCGAGTGGTGGGTGTTGAACACGGGGTGGGTCAGATAGGCAGAGGTACGTTCCAGGCTGGCAGGAACAGGAGCAACAGCCAGATCCTCTTCCAAGCCAACCTCGGCCTTGGAGGCGTGGGCGGCAAAGACACGGAGGATAGACTTCACCTCCTCACGGCCGACAGTCTCGTCCAGGGAGATTCCGACCTTGGTGTCGTTCAGCCGGCGGAGGAAGATGGACTGCTCACGAGCAGCCGCAATGATGGCATCGGTTTCTTGGGCACCGGACAGCTCGACAACAACGGTGTCGAAGAGAGCACCACCATCAGCGCTGTTCGACTTGATCGGAACATTGTAGCCCAGTCCGGCGAGCTTGGCCTGCAGAGTAGTGGTCATCGACATGATGCGCTGGGCGATAGCCTTCAAGCCAGCAGGTCCGTGGTAGACGGCATACATGGCGGTCATGTTGGCAAGGAGGGCCTGGGCCGTGCAGATGTTGCTAGTGGCCTTTTCACGGCGGATATGCTGTTCACGGGTTTGCAGGGCCAATCTCAAGGCACGGTTGCCCAGGCGGTCCTTGGAAACACCCACAACACGGCCGGGAACCTTACGCTTGTACTTGTCTGCGCAGGCGAAGAAGGCGGCGTGAGGACCACCGTATCCCATGGGCACACCCAGTCTCTGGGCGCTTCCAAACGCAATATCGGCACCGAACTCGCCAGGTGCTTTGAGCAGAGTCAAAGCCAGAAGGTCGGTAGCGACACTGAAGGTACCACCGCTGCCGTGGATCGTATCACTCAAGGACTGGAAGTCGTAGATACCACCCTCGGTGTCGGGGTACTGAGCCAGAACACCAATCAGCTTATCACCCTGCTCCTTGACCAGCTTGAAGTCATCCGCCAGAATATCGCCGACCACCAGGTTGATGCCAAAGCCCTCTGCGCGGGAGCGCATCACTGCAATGGTCTGAGGGTGGCAGAGGTGAGACACCACGTAGGACTTGCCGGCCTTCTTCTGCTTCGACATGGGTAGGGTGGCCAAGGACATGGTCATGGCCTCAGCGGCCGCGGTACCTTCGTCCAAAACGGAGGCATTGGCGAAGGGCAGACCGGTGAGATCAGCAGTCAGCGTCTGGAAGTTCAGGAGGGACTCCAGACGGCCCTGACTGATCTCTGGCTGGTAGGGGGTGTAGCTAGTGTACCACGCAGGGTTCTCCAGGACGTTGCGGAGGATGACCGGGGGCACAATGGTCGGGTAGTAGCCCGTTCCGAGGTATGTCTTGCCCGAAACGTCGATTTGCTTGCGGTAGGTATCCAAGAGCTTCAGCATATCCGTCTCACCCAAGCCCCCGTGCACGCTGCTGTGGGGAAGATTGGCAGTAGAGTGCGGAGCAGACACCTTCAAGTCCTTCTCGGACAGGATATCCGCCGGCAGCACCTGCTTGACGAACTCATCGAGCGATGCTACCGGAGGATCCAAGGTGGCAAGCATCTCCTTGGCGGCATCGGGAGAGGGGCCAATATGACGTCTGGGGAAGGTATCGAGGGGTTGAAAAAGATCCGGGGGATGAGGCACGCCATGATCCGCGACGGAGCTGGTGTATACGGGCCGTCGTGCGGAGGGCGACTGCTGTGTGGTGGTGTGAAGGGAGCGGATCAAGGGGGAGACTCTCCGCACCGCAATTGGCGAGGGAGCAGCGCGCAACCGTGAGCGCAGCGCCAGCTGGCGAGTGCCACGCAGAGCGCACAAGGATGCAGCCATACCTACAATTGAGCAGGTCCAACGATTTCAAGAATGGTGGACGGTAGGTAGGTGGGTGGGTGGGTAGGAAGGGAGTATAGGGAAGGGGGAGGTATAGACCCGGCTGCGCGAGAGTTCAGCACATGAGATAGCGCAACACAGTTGAGTAGAAGAGGGTTAAGGGAATGAGGAGAGGAGAGGAGATGAAAATATTCGCGACAATGAGTGATAAAAGAAAAGAATCGACTGGAGGGGAGCAGATAGCAAGAATAATTAATCCTCCTCGACCGCGGGCGCCACGGATACTCGCGTCGGGAAACTGTCTGTCCGGCCGATAACGCTGGCCCCGGGCCAATCAGAACGCGGGATACAGCTCCGGTCCCTCGCGATGGAGCCCCGCCATTTGCGATAAGCCCGCGATAAGTTGCCCTTTTCCGCGGGAAATTCATACGTGCATTTTATCTCTTCGATCAGTTTGTGCATTGTTACTTCGCAATATCTGATGGTGAAAGATAATCTGTGACATCCTAAATATATCTAACTGAGCAGATGCCCCACTGTCATTTTCCTCACCAATTGACCCCTACAAACTGCCGATGATGGGATGAACAACCTCTCCTCCGCAGTGGGAGCTCCTCCGATAGCGTTCCCCGGTGATGCAATTATGACTTTCCCCGTGGAGCTGGGCCCGTCGGTAAGGGTTCCCCTTGCGCGCTGTGCGCAGCTGCAAGTGAATTTTGTATCTTTGTCTCTGGCTTACATTACTCACTGTGTACAACTGGTCTTAGCTGTTCATTGGTACTGTGTAGACTTACCTCATCGACATAATCATGGACGTTGCACATCCCTTGCTTACATAGTGCAAGCAGTTATGCAAGAATATAGATAGTAGCGTGCAGCTCCCGATCTAGAACATGAACACCCCGGCTGCTTTCCCGACGGGCAAATTCCATTCTGCTCCACATTATTGGCTATCACCAGTTTTTGACTACACAAATAGCACTTGAGTACTCATATCGTCTTCCATCCAACAGAGAAACCAGCTTAAATCCACACCATACCAAAGCAGACATAATTTTCTTTCTCCCACCTAGATAGTATACCGGAAATCGGAGGACCCCTCAATAACACGCTCTCCCCGATCGGCTTGCTTATTCGCATATCGGAACCACACACTCAGTGCAGCCACCGTGATCATCGTAACAAGGTTGCACCTGTATCACACTTAGCTTAGGTGCAACAAACACACCAACAGCTATAAATACTCACGCAATAGTCGTCCATATTCCCGGTCGATATTCTGGCGCATCTTTCGACTGAAACACCAGACTACTGATAATCCCCCCAATGGCCCCAACTCCAATGAGCGTCGCGCTGCAGAACGCGCGCGTCCACTGGCCTCGGATATTGTTGGCTTGATAGGCCATGACAGCGGGGATATTGGAATTCGCCCCGGCGACCACCAGAAACACCCCCACGTAGCGCGCGGCATTGCCCTTAGCAAATCCCATCAGGGGAAGGCCGATGATGCCGACTACGGCATTAAACGCCACGATGGGTCCCCGCATACGATAGCGATCGCTGATCCAGGCTGTCGTGTACATCACTATGCCTGCAAAGCCGTAGGGAGGTGCGACCAGACACTGTGAGGCGCCGGTGCTGAAGCCCATTCCCTCTTGGAGGATGATGGGCAGGAAATATGCGATGGCGTACGCGACCGTAGTGCTGCATCTGCTTGTCGTCAGACAACAACCCTCAGTAAGAGTGGAGAGGCAGGAAGAACTGACAGACAAATCAATGCAAAACCCCAGATCTTCAGGTCGAATGCCGGGCTGAAGAATCGCTTGAACGTAAAGGGCTCTTCGTTACCATCGGCACGGTCTCGGTTAATGCGTCTCACAATGAAAGCACTTTCCCTCTCGTTCAGAAACTTCCAAGACTTGTGTGCCTTTTCAGGGAAGTCAACCATGAAGACAAAGGTCAACAGTCCGATAGCGCCCGTAATCTAGAGATCATCAACACTAGGTTGCCTTTTCGAAGGAATTACATACCACGCCCTCCATAATGAATATCCATCTCCATCCTGATATGCCTTGAATGCCTCCCATCTGCATCAAACCAAAGGCAAGTACCCCGGCTAGTGCTGATGCGACACAGCCGATAAGGTAAAAGACCGAGTATCGCTTTTGGATGTCATCTGTTTTGTCAGTCAAAATACATGAATGTTGGTGTGCGCCACTTACATCGGGCGTACCAACTTGACAGGAGGTACACGCAGCCGGGAAAGTAACCTGCGAGGTGTCAATTGAGCCAAACTGTATACTGTTCGTTACACCAAGTCACACTCACCTGCTTCTAGTGCACCAAGGAGCACACGGATTGCGACCATTTGCTTCCAGTTCTTGACAAAGCCCATTCCCTATAGCAGTCATCGTCAGACCGCAACTTTAGAAAGGATCGAGAGCATGGACTCAACGTACAACGAGAATTGCTCCCCACGATATGACCAGAGTGCCCAGAAACAGAGTCGGGCCCACCTTCCGGATAATCACCGTCATCGGAGGTTGGAAGACCACGTAGGGTATAAAGAAAACGAGGATCACGACAGACTGTCCCTTGTCAGCAGTTACATCCAATAATACAGAAAGTGTAGAACTCACATAGCGAGTCCCAACCCCAAGTTGCAAGTCCTTTGTCATACTGCCCTCCAGTCAACAGCCGATTCGACACAACATAGACCAACTATCTATTTTAAGCTGAAAGGAAACCTACCCTGCAACCGCAGCCATGCTTAGATTCGTCCTATCCATAAGCGAAATGCAATACGCCAAACCAGCCATAGTCACCAAGCGACGATCGACCCGATGGATGATCTTGCGCTGCTCTGCAGGCGTGAACTCCTCATCGTAGTCCACATCATGGATTTCAGGCTTATCGATATCCTCGATCCGTTCGACACTAGGGGGCTTTTCAATGTCCGTAGATGACATGGCTGACGGCAGATATTTGAAAACGAGCTTAGAAATTCCCGATAGATTGATTTCCGAGAGAAAATCGAAGCAGGCTGCAGCCATATATCAATGAAACCTCCCACAATGCAATACGAATCACCGCGCTTGCCCCCGCGATGCGTGGCAAGCCACATTTCGCACACACCAGCTCAGCTGATAGAATGCGGCATTTGTCTAATTACTGAACACCAGGATACGAGTCCAGATTGGGCCAACATCGACTCAATGATGTATAGCACCACGCGTTCTCCACAATTTCCCCAGGTTTATGGATTGTAAGACCGATGCGGGGAGCAGCGATGATCGAATGCGGGGGAGATAATAATCAGCCACCAGTTAAGGCTGCGAGTGATTGGATGGACCATCTCCCAGGTATATTTCTGGCGAACTTATCGAAATGGTTATTCGGGTTGTTGTATGCTCGGGCCGATATAGGGCCGCCTGTACCACTTGTGAGAGGTGACATTCATACCGGCTGGTGTCTACATAAGGCGAATACAAGCCTTCAAAACATGGATTAAGAGGCAAGCCAGGTGATTAACTTCCAACTGATAAACAGAGGTCCAATTTCATGTCAATTGCAAGCTCATTCGTCTATTGATGACCGATCATTTCACGATGAAACAGAAGCACAGCCATGTCAATGTAATAGTCTGGCCCATTTGGAAAAAGCATATCTTGCCACAAACCCGAGATGAGAGCTCGAAAATGGCCATTCTATGTGGATACGAGCTAGACAAAGTTTCCAGTGATGTTGAAAGGCTAGCTCACCGGTTTATTCGATCCATTCAGGGACATGTTCCAGGCCTGATCGCGACGTCCCCAGCTGGAGAAGCGCAAAGCTAGATATCCCGCCATCCGATTTCTTTGTTCACTTGTTCCTAGTCCTCCCGAATTCACCCATACTAGCTTGCACTGCTTCCTGTCCTTCAACTGGCATGAACCTCGCGATGGTATTCAATAATATGCTCGGCCCGGCTGTTGCGTAGCCGGGCCGAGCTTAAGTTTAGTTTCTGGTCCCCAGCGGCCCGAATATAGAAGTCCCTACTCGGTGCGCTTTTGGCATCTACGCTCCAATCGAGTAGACTTGCGCATAATGCGGAAGACGCATAGGGCCACCTACTAGACACAGAGTGGCGTCCATCATCCATAGATCGGATCGTGATTGGTCAGCAAATATGCGACTTCAGGGCTACTATGCGTAGAGTGCAAGCAGAGGTATAGTTCTCAGTCAGGGCATAAGCGTGCCCAGCATGACGTGTATGCCTTATCACTGCTGCAGTAGCAAGCGCTGTCATAATGAAATAGCTCTCTGATCTCCGCTTTACATGAAGCAAGTCGGTCACTTGACCTGTTGAGAGCCTTATGGTTGACCCTTTTCTGCTACTATAATTCCATGATAAACCGTTAACTTTAGCTGGACTATTGGATCGTTCGTACATGTTAATTTGGTCGGATAGATTCGACTTCTGATTCATCACGTCAACTCAAATCAACACCAGCGCAAAGGCCCTAAGACACATGAGAAATGTGGAAAATGATGTGTCTATTATCTGTTCGGGAGATGTAACTAGTGCATACAGCACTCGGTGTAGGGAGACTGGGTCTTTTCAGTTGCAAGCCGGGCTCAAAAAGCATCTAGTAGTTTCTTGAATAGCCTAGGGGTTAGGGAGCGCAAATGATTGAACTGAGGTAATGATATGAATTGTAAATATTTATTATACAGAATAAAAATCTATAAAGCAGGAAAGAGAAAGAACAATGAAAGACATGAGTCCAGCTCTGGAGCTCAATACATGATGTCGACGTAGTCTGACCGCATAATGCGACATCAGCTCTTTTCAAGGCCCCTACCAGCTCGAGTAAGCCCCGCGTGTAGTCCATTCAAACCCAGGATTAGCCATGCTATCAAAGCCGCCAGAACTTGCGAAGTATGCCGAGCCCCAGAGAGTGCCACGCGGGATGCATGTTCCGGGATCGTAGTGGTCTTGATAATCTCCTTAGGAGGATCGACGGTTATCGGATTACCAGCCTCGGAACTGGTACATTTTATTTCTGCCTGTTCATCGGACTGGCTTATCGTCTCAGATTCGACAAGGGTAGAGTCAGAGCTGTTCACGGTCTGTGTGGATGCAGCCGAGCTGCTCCTGGGCGGCGCCAGGGTACTTGGAGATTTGTTTCCAGTCAACTGTCGTGCCAGCTCGAGCAAGGCTTCATTCGGAAGACAGATCTCGCTAAATTCCGTGTCAGGATCTTTGCCTAGTGTGTCATCTGGAACAGCAGCAGGTTTGGGGTCGGATACTTCTGTAAGTCTCTTAATGAATATGTTCAGTGAGTTGCCGATCTCCAGAGTGACTTACCTGCCACTGGATGTAAGTTCTCTTCGACCATAACTTGATCTATATTCCTGACTAACTTGGAAAAGTAAGGATCGTCTGTTGCAGAGACGACGGGCTTGATCTTAGCTCGAGTAAGGGCCTTCTTATTCCGTGGCGGACAAACAAGGCGTTGCCGGACTCGGTGATGCCATCGCTGCATCTTGACTTCGATCTGCAGGTCGAGGTAGAATGGAGAGGAGTCATGATGGAAGGTAAGTGCAGTGTGCACGATTGAGTGGTGAACCGCTTGTCGCTCTAGTTCATTTTCTTCCAGGTGCCAAACAAGCTGTCTATATCGATTGTTTGGAGTATATGATTCGTCATCAGAGTCATCCGTAAATCGGGAACCAGTGAATTTCCACCGCGACGCATAACTGGCTTGAGTCTTTCGTGAAATGCCAATACCTTCGACACTGGCATTAGCGGTGCCTACTTTGGGAGTGGCCTCGAAAGACTTCGACACTTGTCGCTCTCGTTTCTCCCCGGTGAGGATTTTTGGTCCAAAGAACTCAGTGACCTCGAGACCTGTGTTAATTCGCCTCCTCCGGTGCTCGGCCTCATGGAAGTTCATGGTAATGGTCGCTTGTGAGAGCTTGCAGTCGGTGGGTTGATGAAATGTGAGATCCAAATACATCAGTCCTGCATCCTGCCCACGAAGCTTACCCCACTGCGTCTTGGATATCAGAAAGCAGCAATCGACGCGAATTCTGCCAAGTTTGAGATCCCCAAGGCTTGCACTTGAGCGTGTTTGACACTCATCGACATATCTGAAAGGCTTGGCTTGGGTGGTTGATCGTTTGGCAGGCATTGCATCTGATGGGTTATTCCAGTACTAAGTTGAAGGCGACGTGAACATTAGCTGGCGGGAAGGGGCGAGGGGCGCCCAGCCTGGGTTAAATTATTCTTCACTCACCATTTTCCTCTTTCTTTTCTTTTTCATTGACTGTGGCGGTGCTATAGCGCTAAAATGAAGCTCTCTCATTCGTGCCACATGTGCATTTGAGGGGTCTTGGCAAGGCTGTAACCTGTGTCCCATAAATTTCAGCCTAAGGAGAGATGAATTACTCATTTCATGATCCCACTTAACAGGCTCTCATGACGCTCAATATTACCATAGGCTCAGACCGTGCTTCAGATGAAGAAGATTCATCGGAATCCGGGGTTGAGATCGCGCCACCGTCCATCACTGGAAGCCACGCATCTCACGACTCGCACGCAGAATGGGCAGACGTCCCACTTCCAGACGAGCTGAAGCCCGGCAAAAAAGCTTATAAACCGCCGCCACGAGTCCAAAGTAGGTACTGGGCAGCAGCGCCGTCCCCATTTAGGGTTAGCAAGCAGGACGACTGGTTGATTTCATCTGGTGACAACGACAAAGACATCACTGCGCACCTCAATCTGGATGTTGCTTTGGATCTGGAACATGAGCTAGGATACCTTGCGCGCTTAAATCGATTGGGCCACTTTAAAAAGGGTATTCGTTACTTTGAAAGACGCCTCGCACCCTATGTCGACTTCTTCCCCGTGGTAGCCGAATATGCAGACCTCCTCTTGGAGCAAGGGAATTTCGGGAATTTGCATCAGTTTATTTCAAGTCGCTTGAAGGACCATCTAGTTGAATATTCGAAGGAGGAATACATCTTGCTGAAAATCTTGAAGGCCTTTGCGGAGATCTATACTAAAGGAGCAATAGTACCTGCATTGAACATGGCGAAAGAGACGCTGAGCCATTTGTCGGTGAGGAAACATGTTTCAAAAGTCCCCAGTTTATCTACTGGCGTTAAGGTGCGTTTTAAAAGTTGGCAATTGAACATGAGTCAGCATTCCTTATTTGATTCCCTCTTAGATTCAATTATTGGAGATGTGCGTACGTATAATCACCAACGCGGCCGCATACTCCAACCTTCTCGAGACCGAATCGTTCAATCCCCTTTTGTACTGGTCTGCTTCTAGTAATGGGACAGTAAAGTTAGACGACAAAGGCGATAGTGGCGAAATACATGCGAGGGGATATAGAACTCCCCGGCAAAGCCCTCCTCGAATAGGTTCTTGGTATCGTTTCCTGCTCCAGGAAGGCTTTTCATGGGATGCACACCGTATTCTACGGTCTATATTGCCCATGCTTGGGTCCCCGGATGGACATTACATCTTTAACGGACGCTTTGAGGAATTCTTCGAACTGAAAAACATCTCTGAGGCCGAGAAAGTTCTACTTCAGCCGGCAGAGATGTCGTTCCAGGATGAGCAGGTTCTGTTGGCTGAGTTTGCGAACGCATGCCTGCTTGCGGATTTCCTGAGTGCGGAACGCTTTAGTGAAATTGTCCAGGTGGCGGGCTGCCAATTCTTACAGAGATCCCGCTCCCTAGCATCGGCAATACTCCTAGAATACCCACACTTAATCAGCACTCGACCATACTTGGATTGGCTCTTGTCTGAGAGCATTCGAATTTTGCCATTCTCCCGTCATGTCCAACCGCTAGTAAAGAATACGAGGCTGGTTCCTGATAGCTGGACTTGGAAGTCTTTCGACAATATGCAATTCCTTCACCAGAGAAAGCTGTCTATGACCAGGGGAACAGAGCTACCAAAGACTCCTAACGATCCTCCTTCATTTCAAAGCCTCGAATCTATATCTGAATGCGTCAGGGGTCTGGGAGATTATCGTCTGGAGCGGTCTGTGCTTCATCAAATGTTCTGGCATTCACTGGACTGGGACCAAAGCCTTCAAGCACTAAGGGACCTGACCCGGCTGAATCGCGACCTAATGAGTGACACTTGCGGGTATCTCCAATCCTTGATCGACGAGTGCATTGCCCTGGATTATAGCAACGCTCCCGATTGTGAGAGATTGCGAGAAGATCTGTATAGTCGCTTCTCTGCATTCGACCACTCCTTTCCTTTTCGCTTTGATTATGATACAGCGGTGCATGAAAGCTCTGCCATTGTCTTTTTTGACAACGCTTTGCTCAAATATATTGAAAGGAACATGCTTTTCGACTTCTTAGTCGAGACAGGACGAGGTACTGAGGCTGAATTGGTGGGAATGAAACTATCCCGTACAGGTCACTACTTGCCCGGCGAGATTCGATCCTCGTTGATTTCTACCGGCAGGTATTTCGGCCGCACAGATTCTCTAGCAGCAAAGCAGATTCCAAAATCAGCAGAAATTAAGGGTCATATTCCCGATTCGACATTAGCTGGATATCGGGTCCCTGATCTGGTTCCAGGGCCATCAGATGTGCGACGAGATGGCCCAGGTGGAATACCCCGAGCGATCTTACAAGTTCCCTACCGTAGCGATGCTGCAGCTGATGATACCGCATTGTCGTTAGAAAGGTTGATCCGACAAGGTCGAGATGCGGAGCGGGCCAAACAGACGGGAGACCTCGTTGAAAGGGAGAAGAAGGCCATGAAGCAGGAGCGTGTGAGGTTTACGCAAGAAGTAGCCAGATTCAGGAGACACTTTCAAATTGAAGAGGAAAAGAAAAGGGTGGCTCAGACAGATTCTACATCCCTAGTGACGCTCAAGGATCCAGTGGGCAGGGCCTTTCTATTTCCATTTAATCAGTGTCGTCCCTTTGCTGTGAGTTGCTCTGTCCCCTACAGGACGAATTCAGAAGACGAAGGATATAAGTTGATATAATTTCCCAGGCAATGAAGGGACTCATGCAGCAAGTCTTTCGGTCCGATAATATTCTCGCGCCTCACATTGCCAAAGGGAATTATAGGTTCACCAGCCTCGATGGTAATCCCATCACACGCGACAGTTGGGACTCCGACATCCAGCCCGGTGGGACCATTATGGTTCATATCACGTCTGACTTGGGGCAGGACTTATCTCAGGAGCCCGAGAAAGCAAACACAGAACATGACCAGCCAGTGGAAGGAGAACGTCTTACTGCCCAGTTGGAGTCAGTAAACATCGTAGATCCCGAAGACAAACAAGATCAGGGACCTAGAGTTGACGATGTATCCGATAGTTCGACCTAAAGGATTCTAGGTGAGAGGGAACTGGGAATGACCGTCTATCATTAAGGGGCCATTGTACAGTGGCAGTCAATATAGAACGCGAAGATACTAGCCAATCCGTATTGTTAATTGTGGATCCAAGAACAAGATTAACATAATCATGTTACAGCATAGTATTACAATCATGATTTCATGTCAATGATAACAATGACCCTTTTGGGAGGAGTTACGCATTGAAAACTGTTTCTATGGAGCTAACAACATGAGAATAGTAACCTAAAATACTAACTCTGAACCGAGTCCCCATCATATTTCATCACTCCAAATTACATTTGATGTTGTACTGATTTTCATTACATCATCTCCTCCTTCTCCAGTCCATTGATTTCATTTAAAAGTAGCCTAGCTCTCCCTGCATTAGACATTGAAGAAAATGCTCGAAAAAGGTTAGGTGGGAAACGAGGCAGAACGTTATGTCATTCGCCTGGATAATGCCCATCCGTGTAAATGTCCGGAGAAATCGTAATTTACATAAGAGTTACACGAAAATTCACAACAAATGTAAGAACCCCAAATGGCTCCAGAAGAAAAACATAATCAATAAATTCTAGAAGACAATGCAAGCTTCAGGCTATACTGAGGAGGGCCACTTTCATCATTATATAATAGTAGGGTTGCTGGAAAGTGATTGTATCCACGTTACACTTGAAAAGTCAGTATCAAATCATTACATCGTCGATACGGAATACCACCCCACATGCATGCAGCAGGAACCACTATATAAGGCTAAAACTTCCCAATAGATAATTACCCAAAACTTCCCTTTTCTCTCCATGTTCAGCATTCCCATCGAACCTCACTTGTCACCTCCGCCATGCCCGCCAACGCCATCACCATCATCTTCTCACCCTACCACGTCGGCATCCGCGACCACCGAGTTGGCAACGGCCCCCACCGCATCCGCCAACACGGAATCATCCAAGCCCTCGAAGACCTAGGCGTAAAAGTCAACTTCATCGAACTCGACCGTGTCGACGAATTCGAAGGCGAAATTGGTCGCAGCTTCGAGCTCCTCCGACGCACATCTACGGCCGTCACCCAAGCCGTGAAAAACAACACCTTCCCTATCATCCTATCAGGCAACTGCATGGCAAGCGCAGCGGTAGCCTGCGGTCTCAACACCGATGATCTGAAATTCATCTACTTCGACGCTCACGATGATCTCGACTCACCGGACGTCAACGAGAACGGCTATCTCGACGCGATGGGACTTTCCATGCTCCGTGGGGAGAGCTGGAAGACTCTTACGAGGACGGTTCCGGGATACAAGCCTTTCACTTATGATGGCAACTTTTTGTACTGTGGGCTACGGGATCAGAGCGATGTTCAGCGTCAGAGGGTATTTGATGCGGGGATGGTTGCCATATGGGGTGAAACCGAGCGTAAGGTTGATTTTGTGGGTGAGTTGAGTAAGCAGTTGGAAGCAAAGTCGTATGATCCGGCTTTGGTGCATTTGGATTTGGATGTATTGGACGAGTCATATGGGAAGGTTAATGATTATCCTTCTCCCGGGGGATTATTTGAGTCCGAATTGTTGGGTTGTATGGATCTTGTACCTAGGAGGAGTACGCCTAGGTCTTTGACTGTCTGTTCTTTTGATCCTGATGCGGGCGATGGGGATAGGATTGCGGTGATTGCTGTTCGTGCGGTTACTTCTTTTGTTCAGTCTTTGTTGGATACAGGGGCTTTGATTAATGATGCTTAATTCAGTTGTAAAACGAACTTATAGTCTGAAGGTGGGCAGATGTCTCATGATTAGGGCTGGCTGCTATGTGTAACGCGGAGCTGCGTAGCCAAGGAACACGCTTTCTATATACTACATGGTCAAAAGTCTCGGAATATTCAAAATTTCCTGAAATCTCAATATTACTAGCGTTACGTATAAAGCATACAATAATCTACGAATATAATAAACGCAGTAGTAATTGGATGGGTATTCCGATGGCGTAATAAATACAATACACTGTCCCCCTTCTATGCTTTGAAAACTCCATTGCACAATGCCTTCATTCAAATTACTGATAAGGTCCATAGACGATCCAGACAGAAGTCCCTCAAACGTCAGAGACCAAGTTCATGCTCCCAATCGGTGTTCAAGAAAGAGCTTGACGAATATGCATCATCACCTACAGACAAAAAGTCTTGAAGATGAAATAATTCCTGCTCCAAATTGAAGCCCTCTCCGAGCGAGGAATTGTTATTGTCTATGACCTGAACTGCCGACTGTAAGTCAAATGGGTCCTGTAGCCATGCATCAAAGTCACCTGCAAGCTCTGAATCACGGTCCTGGCGTTCATGCTGATGTGCAAGAGATGGTTCGACAGACGATGAGTCCCGGTTGTTCAGAATATCATGCACCCTCCATTTCCGTGCAATCATGCTAAGTGCCCTTACTGAACGTTTTGCCCAGCCCCAGGCGATGCTCATTTGCTCTAGATATTGGAGCGTTTCGAGAAAAAGCTGTCTGGATTTATCCCGAATTTGGTGGTCTTTGGCGGTACTGTTGAATAGATGGATGAATGCGGCGGTGCGGGCGGTATCGACTACGGATATTGATATTTTCCTCTGGTGATAAAGAATATTAGTACTCGTTACGTTAACTCGAAATTGCGACGAATGGGGTGGTCTTACCAAGGTAAAGAATTTAGCGTAAGCCCTAAAAAGAACTGTTACCTTTTCTGCGGCTTTTGTGCATGTTTCCAGGCTAGTAGAGACAGCTCCATTCATGGAGCGCTGAGGAGGGCGGGCGTTGCTGGGTATGTTGATGAATGGTCGATGGAGAAGGATGACCAAAGTGTAAAAGTGCATGCTGAAGGAGCATCAGTTAGTATTGGGAACTTCCCAACGTTGGTCATGGCACGTACTGGAAACAATACATATGCGGCGGCAACGGCCTTGACGAAGTCGGTGGCAGACGAAGAACACTTGGTAAGTTGTTATAAAAAGATGTTAACGCTATATTTGTTTTTGTCATAATACTTTTCTTCTCGGCCGAGGTAACAAATTGTTCAGGGGTATATCTATAGGCGAACATGAGCGATTTGACCGAAGCGGCCAAGAGTCGAAAGAATAAACTGATAGAGTTCTTACATGTCATCTAGTGGACGTGTTGCTAAGCGTAAAAGTCGGCATGTATTATGTAAAGTAGTGATAGAGTAGGATAAAGGTGAACGGTCTATCGAGGGCATCGAGTCTCCGTTCCATTGGCCATATTCAACATCGGCTAAATTGGATGGGAAATTGACCTGTATATCGCGCTCATGAATGATACTTGGTCGACCAATGCCGACAGTAAACAACCTTGTCCGTTAGAGCATTGTTAACACGTGAGTAAACTGCACGCTTACTTTTCAATCATATAACAACCCCACCATGCGATTGACCGCAGCTCAGCTTCTTCAGAAGCCATGAATCCCGAAGAAACCCACAAATGTGGGTCAATATGTAGTCCCAGATTATACGCCATCCGAATAGCAATTCCTGCGTCCGAAATGAGCTACCAGATTAAGGAGATATTTCAACGAAGGGTTTGTTGGGAGGTACACATACCGAGGTAGATCCAACCAGCTGGTTCATTGTCTTTGGCCATTTCATATAGAGATATATGTGCAGCGGCCACTACTGTGGAAACCCGTGGAGCCTTGATCTCTTCGAATAAGAGAGCTCGGGCTTTGTGGGAGAAACAGTCACCTGCGGTACTCGGATCATTGGGAACAGTGCGGACTTCAGGATTGTCAGAGTATCTCGCTGCCAAAGCCATCATGGAGTGAAGAAGCAACGGGGTACAGTATCCATCGTCTATTTGGTTTTCCAGACCCCTGAGAAACACCTTTTGATAAACAAGGTACTGCCAAGGGTTCTGCCACTTCCAGTAAATATCAAGGAGTTCTTCCTGGATTTGGGGATCCATATCGATACGCTGTAATGGCTGATGTGAGTTTTGACGAAAGGTAGTGTGTTTTGTGCCCTGCCGTTCTACGAAGCTGAGATTGCTCCGCGATCCAAAGTATCGCAGCTGATCGCCTTCCCCAATGCTTAGGCCCCCAAGAAGATCAGTGATATCGTCAATCGGGTCTAGGGATCGAGGCTGGGTGCCAGAAAGTTCTCTACTCCCAAATGTTTCATCTCGGTCTAGCATTTGGTGAGTTGTTGTAGTAAGAGTCTTCCCTTCTTTGTGTTCATATTGGGCTAATTGTGACTCCAGAAATTCAATACGAGCCTGCAGTGCTTGTATGTGCTGCTTGGTTGGTGGCCTTGATTCGAGTCAACGACAGAGTGACGAGGAATATGACCGAAATTATGCTTACTTGCGTTTCTCCTTATCATACTGATACTCACACTTTTCAGCCTGGCCCAAGCATCCAGCACAGGATGGTTTGGCACCATTACACTAAATCAATATCGAACGTTAGAGCTCATAGAAGCTCATAGCTTTGGTACCATTTGATTAAGATTAACTGCTAAGGATTTCCCTTACCTTGATTCTTTTCCTTCGGCAAACATCACAAGCGACAGACACTCTTTTACGGTATGACTGGACTTGAGACATGACGGGAATTCTCTACAATGTATGTAACGGATGGTGAAGTTTAGGAACGTGCTGGTCAGTGTCGGTGGCAAGCGGGTACAGCGGGCGCGGCGGAATCTTGTTTTTCCTGACTGCCTCCACTAGTATCTGTTGGCCGCTTTGGGATACCCGCTTTGCAACCAGGGACTTTTCGATAATGCATAGTATGGTATCCTATATAAAGCCTGGTATGTATATAAGAATGGAACAAGAAAGTTGCTAAGGCGCGAACAATCCGGGATGCTGCTGTTGCGCTTAATATGATGATCACCATCGACGATACTTGGGGCTGCGCTTTGACGACAGCACAAAGCCTGCAGCTAGCGGCTTCGACTCCCCCTATTCGTCTGCGTGCTGTAGACCTTTTTGTTGAATGGAAGAATCCCGCTATCTCGGAGATTCGAGATTCCAAAATGGAGCCAAATGGCAGAGTTAGTCACAGTTTGGGCCCTGGGAATGGCCTTGGTTAGATCGACATGGATCTTCTGGGACAACCGATATTCCAGATCAAGACTCAAACCTGATTGAATAAAGGACGTATAGCTGAAAGCATTAGGCTTTCGCAAAAATTTGCAGCGGCATGCCTGAAATTACAATTTGCCTTATTCATAATATATGAATCACTGCCAAAAACTATTTAGGAGGATACGACTGCCCCTTTCCCGAAGCGGGGAGTTCAGCTGTCTTTTGAGGGATGGGTCTGCTGTGGAAGATTTTTCGTTAGGAATGAATACAACAAGGAATTCGGTAACAATCAAGACTGAGGCTAGGGAGTTATAGCCTCTTTGAGTAATTAATGAGTCTAGTTCCATGGGGGTGGTGTGAGAGAACAAAGAAAACAGTAACTTTAGGTATACACTTCAGGCATTCTGCAAGTGGCCTCCATTCTTGAGCTATAATAAACAAGGCGTCATAGAAAACATTGCTCGCTCAAGGGAACCATACAATTCGTAATGAGCTCATTTAAAATTTCCTAGATGCTACCTAGCAAACACTTGAATCTATAACAGACTGGTGTTACACACTACTGGCAGAGCGCGGTGAAACGGAGTCTTCGGCGTGATACTTGCTTCAAGTATTCAGGCCTTGAATCTTGTTCACAACCGTCCCGTTACGTACAACGTTATACACGGAGTCGGGCCCTTGGAGTGCTAAGAGCTTCCCTACTTATAGGATGTTTGGCTCAATATCGGGCAGTGAAGTAGATCAACAATAGATCCGAGTGGCAAAGCATAATTGACCGCGAAGAACCACAGACATGTGTTCAAGGGAATTTCGTTATATATTCAGTCCCTCCTATTGTTCCAATGGTATTCCTATCCCATTGTTGGCATGGGGATCCCATCCTATCGTTAGGTTATGATATTACGTGACACATGTTTACCGTGATCTTGTTCTCGTGGCATAATACTCAGAAGTGATTTTGTCTCTTCACTAGAGCTTCGCTGGGGGCTCCAGAAGATGCTTCATCTCCGCGTTCGGATATTCAACATTTTGGGATGAATCAGGGCGCTGTCGGTCCCATGCCCATTTCTCAACCAGCTCCGGTTCCAGCTCACCTTCAATCATTTGAAGGATGTATTTTCCAAGCACAGGGAAGAACTTGTATCCGTGGAATGAGCCGCAGGTTGCCACATATAGCCCTTTGGAGGCGGGGTGAGGAGAGATAATAAAGTCGGCAGAAGTGGTAAAAGCGTCCCTGGGGATCATTAGACCTGAAATTCTTTCGAAGGTCACAATTAAAAGGAGTACAAACCAGCAAATTCGGTGCTTCGTCATCTTCCATTCAGCGCTCTTAGGCCCATACCACAAGTTTCTTGACTCGACAATATCTTGCTTCAGAGGTCCGGGAACCTTCCATTGGTTGTAATCATCCGTGGGAGGAGGAGAGGAGATGTGGCGGCCTGGTAGAACCTCGCGAGTGTTTGTAAAAATCTTGGAACCCCACCATTTCAACTCTCCATCCTTAGTCGGAGGAATGGTGCCAATGAAGGGCTTGCCTGAGATATTCTTAGTTGGTTCACAGGCATGTTCCGAATGATGGCAACTTACCCTCTTCCGGTGTATAGCCTTGGAAACCAACAGGCATATCCTTGAACCGTTCATACTGCTCCTTGTCAAGCTGTGCCATTCCTGTCGTGATACCAGCGGCCAAGATACGATCACCGGCTCTTAGACCTCCGTTGCCGCTCTTCGCAGCGCTCCATTCCAACAGGGTGGGAGTGAACGCTCCGGCAGCAATTACGACCCGTGAAGCCGATAGAACATCTCCATCTCTCGTCCTGACGCCAATGCAAGAGCCGCGACCATCAAATTCCAAAGTCGCAATATCAGCCTTGACATACTTGACTCCCAGATCTAAGCACTTTTTGGTCACTGCTCGAAGGGCGTCTCCAGCAGCAGCCCAGCCACTGGCCCGATTGATGAGAACCTCTTTGACCCCAGTATAATCCGCATTGTCAAAAATTCCGTTATATAGCTTTCGAGCTTCGGCGACCGGAAGGGCAATGATATCGTCGTTGCGGCCAAGCTTCTTGTGATTGGTGATGACGTTTTGCGCATAGTCGCTGCGACATGTCCAATAGACACCCGTCTGATGAAAGTATGGTTGCCAAAGTGGATCGGACTTGAAGATTTCCTGCGCTTCGAGAGCTAATTTGCAATATGTCATGTCATCGTAGTCTGCACGAACGACTTTGTTCCAATCCCATGAGGCGGCCACACGAGACTCGGCATCGTATGCATCTCGGTCCACCAAAGTTACGGTCGCATTGGGGTATTTCTGAATCAGGTGGTAGGCGGTCGATACACCGAACACTCCGGCGCCGACAATTAAATATGACGTGTTGTTCGGGGCCATAATCTAGAAGCCGTGGCCCAAAAGTCTGTGTTTTGATCTGTTCGAGGTTTTCGCGTCACTCGATGGAGCGGCGACGTTCTAGAATAAGGAAATGAGGAGGAGGTAAATAAAGTTGTAAGCCGTCGCCCACCAGAACAGCTCCAAGAACTTATATTTGCAACTCTCAGTTGGCAAGTGGGCCGCCTATTAATCTGACAGCCAGAAGTTAACTTGATTAGAATTTCTCTTTTGCGAGTCGCCTCCGTTCCGAACCGAGCCATATAGATGGGCGCATAGATCTGGCGGTCTACCAGGAAATTTTATCCTAATCGAGTATCGAAATTACGGATACCAAGCGTTAGGCGCGCTAGTTATCCATTTTGGGTATACGATAAGGTATCTTTCCGGGTTTCGGTACAGAGCGAATCCAATTGGGCAAGAAGCCGCCCCAGCATCGGCACCTCTTCCGTGTAGCCCCGGCCTACACTTCAAATACCACACTTTATAGCAATTAAGGCTCAAGATGGAGCATGAATATCGTTGCCAAAACATCTCTTTGTCTTTGGACGATATTGTGCCTTTCTTCTACCTCAGTTAACGCATATCTTTATGTTAACTGAACTCGTCAGGTCCCACTGGTTACGGACCCGTCACATACAGATGGGCCACCAAGAGTCAATCGGGTGTGCATGACTCGATTTGAGCACGGGTGACTGCCAACACATGGTGATCATCTGTGATTATGGATTGCAGGACTCTCTATTGTATAGTCCGTCACTCATCATATGAATGATAACACTACACCGCATTCATGTCTTTCCCAGCTCCAACAACTCCAAACTCTAGTTTCTGCTTATTGATCTCTTGTTTCCATAAATGGCTGCATCAGAAAATCATCATACACGAGTTCTTCCGCTGTTGGTCGTTCTTCCGGAAGCCATCGAAATATTCTGCGTAAGAATTTTAGGAAAGGGACTTTGTCCTCGCCGGAGAGCTGAAGTTCCCTAGCC